TTTTTTTTTTTTTATTACAAAGTTGGTAACAAAATAAAAGTCGGGTATTATTGTCATTTACCATATAAGGATATTTTAGGTATTCCATTTATTTATTTAACTTTATTTAAAGAATGAGTTATTTAAACAAAAAAAACTTTTTCAAAGGGTTACTTAAATAAATTCTTTCTTTCACTGTCCCATTTAAACAAAGAGCCCAGACCCAATTAACCACGATCTGTAAACTTAGGAGCGAAGCAAAGTAACATAAAACCAGCGAGAAGAAAATTGATTTTCTTCCACCATTTGAACCCTACTTTTATATATATATTTATATAGCCGAAGAAAAGTATATACAAGTTCGATATCTCTTTGATAGTAAGCAGAAAGATGGCAGGGCGTTCGCTGGAAATGAACGTGACCAACACGCCGGCGAAGGATCTCGCGTACTCAAATTTTGCCTACTGCTCCCCCTCCGATCTCCGGAATTTCCTCGTCCCTGGATCCAGATTGGCTTACGCTTTGGTCGGCGATGTTTTTGTTCTCACTATTGCATATCCTTATAATCGTGCTTACAATTGCCATTTTCTTCGACATTTTCTGCTGATTACTGTGATATTTTATTTTTATTTTTTTTGTCAAATTTGGCCTCAGTGGCGTCAGCAGTTGAAATGATTTGCATTATATTTGTATGTCTGAGTCTCATTTTTGTGCTACTTGACGAGTAGTAGTTTGTTGATGGTGCTGATTTGGATAATGTGTTATGTCTGGAAATTTGACAGATCTTATGGTTATTTGATTCTTCGAAACTTCGCAGTCGACCAAATGCAAACATAGCTACCAGTTCAATTGTTTAAATTTTCAATAAGCAGTTTGAGGTTTGTATGCGTCTTAATTGGATTTCATTTAGTGATGATACAGCCTGGTTAACTGGATATATAATGATGTTTATTTCATGTTATTTTTGGGATGCAAATGTTGTCAATATTTGGAGTTTTCAGTTACTTATTGAGGTTGATGGTCAAAATGATTAGCTGGACTCAGTACTAAAACCTTGTAGGTTGATTCTAATTGAGATATTTGCACAATAAAAACGCATGACATGACTATACGAAGCAATACTAGTCATACAATTCTGTTGCCCTGCTTCATGGTTTTATTTTTTTTGCTGTAACATACAACAAAAATGCTTTTAGACACCCTCGTGATTACTGGTCTCGAGTTATATCTTTGGTTCTGCTGTTTCTGTTAGTACTACTGCTGATGCCGATGATGATTCATTTACTATGACTATTTAGCCTACTTTAATGTTAATTTGCTTGTGAGTTTTTTTCCCAAATGTGAAGTGTGACCTTAACTTCGATACACTGGGCATGATGCTGTTCCTAATGGGCATGTTGCTCTTAACGCAATCCAACGTCGTCATGCTAAAGTGTCCACTGGGGACTCAATCTCTGTCAGTAGGTATGATTGGTTTAGGTTTTGTGGTGGTTGTCAACACTCAACATATATATTATATTACATTATATATATATATATATATATATATATATTAATACTAGATTTATTTATTTATTCATTTATTTTCTGACAATCTGAATTTTTAGGTTCGTTCCTCCTGAAAATTTCAACCTTGCATTGCTCACCCTTGAATTAGAGTTTGTTAAGAAAGGGGCAAAAGAAGAACAGGTTTATAATTCATTCTTATCACTCTTCACTTTTATTTTTATTTTTTGTTGTCTTTATCACTCTATGCCACTGCTAGGAGATAGTTTTCATGCTACTTTTTTTTTTTTTTTTTCTCTTTATGATTCTCTCTCGTCCTGGTGGAGTGCTTGTAACCTCTCTCCTACTCTGATGCATTGGCCTATCCTGCTGATACAACTGTTTTATCATGCAGGTTGATGCTGTCCTTTTGTCCCAGCAGATTCGTAGGAGATTTATGAACCAGGTAAAAGCTACGGCTTCCTCATAGAAATTATATATGTGATTAGCATTCTCCTTAGTCTCACTATATTCATTATTTGTGTCTTCCTGTGTGATAATTATTGATTTTTGCATCTTCTGTTTCCTTCTTGTGGAACTTATAGCTTTGTAGAACTTGCTCTCTAGTTGTATGAAAAGTTTTGAATTACTTATTAATCGTTGTCTTGAAATAGATCATACTATTGCCTTTGTTGATTCTCGTTTTTGGTTGAAAAAAACAATTTCTTTCTTTGAAAGAACTTAGAAACACAGTCTTTATAGTCATTAGCATCAATACTTCTTGTACTACTAAACCAGGTATTGTTTATGTCATTCATCCTTAAAATGGTCTGGTAACAGATTTATTACTTGGTTTTTGGTTTGTGAACTATATCTGGTGCCGAATGTATCCTTTTTAACTGGCAGTTTCCCAAAACTGCTTGCAATCTTGCAAAAGCATACCAAAATCCATAAATGAAGTTTATTACTAAAATGAGAGAGAGGAAGTTAGCAAATATAAATTTTGGTATATCAGTTCCTATATAGATGTTTGTATTTGTGAGATTATACTGACTAAATGTTCCATATGTACAGGTTATGACTATTGGACAAAGGGTGACATTGGAATATCATGGCAATGGGTTTATCTTCACTGTTAATCAAGCTTCAGTAGAAGAGGAGGGAAAATCTAATGGCATTGATAGAGGGATGATATCAGCTGACACATATATTATTTTTGAAGCATCAAATTCAAGTGGAATAAAGGTTTTCTTTCCAACCTTCTGAAATATATATGGTGGTATAATATTCTCTATATTGAATGCTGCTATATGCAACTGTCTCATCGTTGTGTAGTTTCGAATTTAAGTTATGTTCCTAATTGAGATAATGCAGATTGTCAACCAGCGAGAAGCTGCTAGCAGCAACATCTTTAGACACAAAGAGTTCAATCTACAATCTTTTGGTATTGGTGGTTTGAGTGAAGAGTTTGCTGATATATTTCGAAGAGCTTTTGCATCAAGGGTTTTCCCTCCTCATGTGACCTCTAAGTAATGCTCATATTTTACGTCCTTGTGAACTTTTCTTTTTTGTCTTTATTTTTTTATAGGTTTATTTTATTTCACTTGGAGTTTAATATTGTCTCACATGGTAAATCTGCTGGCTTGTTTTGGCTTTTGATTTTCATGTGACTTTATTCTAATAAGTGTTGCGTTTTAGACTTGGCATTAAACACGTTAAAGGAATGCTGCTGTATGGACCTCCTGGTACTGGGAAGACTTTGATGGCTCGGCAGATCGGAAAAATGTTAAATGGAAAGGAACCAAAGGTGGATATGTTTTGCTAGTTGTTGATATTTTCTCCACGTTCTCATGCAGATAGGATTACTTCGTATTATGCAACTTCGTTTGGAAGATATCGGAGATAGAAGGCTTTATCTTACCGTTTCATATGAATATTGAACACATCGTTACCTTGGTCAAATTACCCAGAAAATTGTATTGAAAGATTCTAATGACTCGAAGCGAGAAAAAAAATTGAAGAAATATAGAAGCCAACTTTCAAACATGATCTATCTGTGTGTGTGTGTGTGCGGGCACAGGGNGGGGGGGGGGGGTGGTCATATGTATGCATGGGAGTGTTTCAGAATCTTTTTTTTTTCCTCTAAAATAGTCTATTTTAAGCATGCTTGGGAGCACGATTGCAAAAGTCTAAGATGGGTTTTGGAAGGATAGCTTATCTAAAAGTTGATTATAAACTAACCACCAAATATGTCAACTTAGCAGCTTGAAGCTTTTAAAATCAAAAAGTTGTTGTCCTTAACACTTAGTCATTTGAGACTTTCTAGGTATTCCATTCTTTTGAATCAGAATAATGATTTATTTTTCTTTTCCTTTTTTAATTAAATTGTGCTCCACACATATATTCACGCCTGATATCATCATTAAAACATAAACTTACATGCTTCATTACCATATGATGAATCTATCTGTGAGTTTTCTGGTCGTCTGTTGTATATTTGAACATTCATAGCCACTACAGGCTGGAGAAGTAAATGGGATTCATGTATACTTTCTGGGCCTACTCTTCTATTATCGTATGCTCCTTCCAAAGTATACTTAGTGCACTGTAGAGGCCTTCTGCTAGAGTCTACTGCGCACCACATAAAATGGCTTTAGTGACGAAATCAATTATTTCTTGGTGACCAATGATTCTGTTACTAGTCTCACTTATAGAGATTCTGTTTTCGGTTAAGAAGTGTCGCTACTTAGCAGGTGCTGTAATTATCGTTTTGGAACTATCTGGTTCGCACCAACTTATATAGCATGTTACTGAAGCAGATTGGACGTATATTGAAGTTTTTACTAGTTTTTGTTGTATACACAACTGGATGTCCTCCTACTCAACCTTTTGAATTGATACTTTAGATTGTGAATGGGCCGGAGGTGTTGAGCAAATTCGTTGGTGAAACTGAAAAAAATGTGCGAGATCTATTTGCTGATGCCGAGCATGATCAGAGAACCAAAGGTGGGTGAACATTTAGGACCAAAGCATATACTTAACATACATGTGCTCTTGACTCATTCTTTCTCTCCATCTTTCAGGTGATCAAAGCGACTTGCATATCATCATATTTGATGAAATAGATGCTATTTGTAAGGTAGGGGAATAAGACTACCTGCAATATGTTATATGTCCTCCTGTTCTTTTTCTGCTCCTTATATTTGCCTTAACTAGCTGAACATGTAAATTTTGGAACTTAAAAGTTACAAAATTCCTTTTTTTTTTTGTTTAGTTCATCTTGTATTCATGTCATTGTGTCACGATCCAATTCAGTCTCTTATCTCTGGCTTTGGTGTGAAAAATCTAGCTCCTTATTATTAGGCAAATAAATTTGAAGCATTCTTCACACTTATTTTTCCCATGAGTTGGGCATACTGGCTCCTATGTTCTTATAAACCATCCAAACTTGTTCATGGAATGTCGATCATACTGATTGTTCCAGGGAACAGCGGCTACTTGAATATTGTATGTTAGCTTTTTATGCCATATCCAGCTTTTTTACTTCATTCATTTTGTTTGAACATGTCAGTCTAGAGGTTCTACGAGAGATGGCACTGGAGTACATGATAGTATCGTAAACCAACTTCTAACTAAGGTACTGATGATTTTTATTTTTTTGGTATTATTTTATTTTTTTTTTTTTGTTCTTTGGGGCTTTTCCACATTTAAATGCTACTTGTTGTTTATACATGCTACTAAGGGATATTCTTACTTGCTATATAGATAGATGGTGTGGAATCCCTGAATAATGTTCTGCTTATTGGGATGACAAACAGAAAGGATTTACTTGATGAAGCTCTTCTGAGGTGCTTGTTTTCCTGTGTTGATTTATTTTCTGTTTTTACAGATATTGTAGTTTGAATCCTCTGTTTACTATTTGAATATTTTATAACACTGATTTAATACAACTCAGTACACTGTCTAATTTTCAAAATTGGGCATATATATTAGGCCTGGGCGCTTGGAAGTACAAGTAGAGATCAGCCTTCCAGATGAAAACGGCCGTTTACAGATTCTTCAGATTCATACAAACAAGATGAAAGAAAGTTCTTTTCTGGCTCCAGATGTAAACTTGGAAGAGATTGGTACTTTCATATTCTTTGCAAACTCTTACTAGCCTTTTGCTATAGAAAGCAACCTTTTCTGCAAATTCTGTCAACCTGAAAGGATATGCTTCTACCGTGGTGCAAGGCCTTTTTGCTTCAATTTGGATATTCAATAAGCTACTGAAGTTCTATTTTTGTGTAAAGTGTTTTTCTTGCTAAGTGATACGTATGCCGAGGCGAAATCAAACTGTTTGCGTCTGGGATTTCACATCTCATATCTTTTTAGGATAAGTAACATTTTTGTGAAGTTGTCAATAGGCTTGCCTGTTGGAATGAATTGCTTACTTTCTTCATCTTTGAGAAACTGTGGTCTATTTTAAGATAAGCCATTTGGAACTACTGCTGAACTGCAGGGATAAGTGTTCCTCTTTGCATTATGCGAAACTTGTGATTTTTCCTTTTAGTGAAAGGAAAGGAATATATATATATATATATATATATATATATATATATATATATATTTTCATACATACATACACACACACACACTTAAATCTGTTTGAATGTCTCCAGTCTTAAAATAATATTTTGATTACAAACATTTAGACGATATATGATCTCAAATTTTGGTAGGTAGTGTGGTCATATGTTGCTTAATCTTCAAATAAACTATGAAGATGTTTTTTCATTTGTGTTGATATATGCATGAGCGTCGACTCCTTTATTAATTTCTTTGCATCAAGATTCACTTTTGTCAGTTTGTGTCCTTTTACCCTTTTCAGGAATTGGTTCTTCTTAGCATCTTGCTATCTGAAAATCATGTATATTTTAGGATTGAATATAGAATAAACCTGCTTTGTCAGTCAACGTATGATGTACATTTTTAGTAAACGACCCTTGTAGTCACTGCTCTCTTGGCAATTAAATGAGATTTGTTTTTTCACTATGCCATTTCCATTTCTGCTTGATAGTACAGCTCTAGCTTATGAAATTATTTCCATTATGTTAACATAAAGTCACATTCCAGTGACAGCAAGACATGAGTTTCAAAGTCACTCAATTGACCATTCATAATGTGGTGAAGTTCCAGTGCTTGCATGACGATATATTTTGCATGTGTTGTTGGCTATGCTTAAATATATAGTAAAATTCCCTGGCTGCAGCGGCCCGAACAAAAAATTATAGCGGAGCTGAGCTTGAAGGTGTTGTAAAAAGTGCAGTATCATATGCCCTGAATAGGCAACTGAGTATGGATGATCTTACCAAGCCAGTTGATGAGGATAATATAAAAATCACAATGGATGATTTTTTGAATGCCCTTCAAGAAGTAATTCCAGCATTTGGTGCTTCGACAGATGACCTAGAACGTTGCAGGTATGAACATTTTGTGTAGGATGAATTCAGAACAGTTCTGAATTCGGTCACTTGCTCACTGAACGTCTATTCTGCCCTGTTATTTCCATCCATATATCCAGTATGCAGTTCTCTGCCCCTGCGTGTGCTAGTGTGTGTGTGTGTGTGGGGGGGTGGGGGGTAGCGTGCGTGCTTGTTCTCTTTAAGTATTCTCTTGGGTGGAAACTGAAAAGTTAGTCAAGAATTTGTTCAAAAAAACGCTGGCCTACAGAAAAGTTATTTACTGTTTGTATTGGTTGAGTTTGTCCCAGGTTAATTTTAGGTATCTTTTGTTTCTCGTATGTCTTATGTGTGAATATGTGCACATCTTGTTGTAGCTTTGTTAGTTCGTGATCCACTCATTAGGTGTTTTTATATTTTGTTGCATTCATATAGTTGAGTTCTATGATAAGTTTGTTTTTCTATAGGATACTGATCAGATATTCCTCTTGCAGGCTTAATGGAATCATGGAATGTGGTGCACGGCATGACCATATTTATCGAAGAGCTATGTTGTTAGCGGAACAAGTTAAAGTTAGTGAAGGAAGCCCGCTTGTTACTTGTCTTCTTGAAGGCCCAAGTGGCAGGTAGTTATTTTAACCTTTTGAAGCTGGAACATTGATTTTTGTGAACTCTGTAAAACAAAAATAAACATGACTAATTTGTTTTGAGCTTTTAGCATAAGCCATATTTTACCTGGCCTAGTACCTTAGGTAGGTGGGCAAGCTGGAATTTGTTTAGGCATTCATTAGATAAATCACATGAAAAATTTGAGTTATGGGGCTTTCCTTGATTTATATGTGTTTTATTCCTTCTTTGAATCTTTCTTATCCATGGACAGTGGGAAAACTGCAATGGCAGCAACAGTTGGTATTGAAAGTGATTTCCCGTATGTTAAGATTGTAAGTAATTTTGTTTGTTGGTTTGTAATATCAACATCAGTTAATTTTTGACCTTATTTTCTGACTATTTCCATTGATATATGGTTAGATATCTGCTGAAACAATGATTGGACTCAGTGAACCGACAAAATGCGCTCATATTGTTAAGGTATTGTTCAATGATCAGCTTAGCTTCATGTGAAATAATCTATTCAGTGAATCTTTTTGCTCATTCTCCAATTCCTTCTTTTGTTATTTGAGAGTGTATGCATCTATTACTAGTTCTGTAAAGAACCTCATATCGTAATGGGGGTGTGCACATAAGTATGTCTTTATTGTTCGGGTAAGATTGAGCATTATGTGGTATGTTTGTCATGTCAGGTATTTGAAGATGCTTATAGGTCTCCTCTAAGTATAATCATCCTAGATGACATTGAAAGGTAACATTTGATTCTATATTAGTGGTATGCAGTCATCATGGATCTATTTATGATCTTATTTTGCTTTTGCAGGCTATTGGAGTATGTCGCAATTGGGCCTCGTTTCTCAAATTTAATTTCCCAAACTTTGTTGGTGCTGCTGAAACGGCTTCCTCCAAAGGTACTTTTCTGAATTATTGCCAAAATTATTTCCAAAGGTTGTATTCGAAAAGGATACAAGTTTTCTCATGTGTATATATCTATTATAAGATTCGTATGCCTATAAATATGTAGTTAAGCATCAATAAATGTAAATGGAATATAATATAGAAACTTATAACTTGTCTGGGGGGAAAAGATGAAGAAAAACGAAATTTGTTGAATATAACCGCTGCCGACAGAAATTACTGAGATGGATCTTATCTTTGTTTTACATTTCTTTTTTCTCAGGGAAAAAAGGTTCTTGTCATTGGGACTACAAGTGAAGTCAATTTCCTGGACTTGGTTGGAATTCGAGATGCATTCTCAGTCACCTACAATGTCCCTACATTGCAGACAGAAGATGCCAAAAAGGTATATATATAATAAATAATCTGCAACTCTTCCCTTTATCTCTAGGATAGGAGAATTTTCTTGGATTTGTGTTTGTCGAGTCATGCAAGGCTTGAAAATGTAGATGAATATTCAATTTTATAACACTCAGTGTTGTAATTTATGTGGGAATACATTTCATTCTCTAAAGGAGAACCAATCTTTTATTTGTCCTTGATGTATTAATGTCCCCACGTCGTCCACAGGTGTTACAGCAGCTTAATGTTTTCTCGAGTGATGATATTGATTCTGCTGCAGAGGCATTAAACGATGTAAGTTCTTTTTCCATTTACAGTGTTCATTACAATTGAAATGGATATGATGACATGACTTGCTCATCCAATTGCTCCAATCAGCATAATTATTTGCCTCAATTGTATGTGCTATTTATGGTGCAGATGCCCCTCAAAAAGCTGTATATGGTTGTTGAGATGGCTGCTCAGGGAGAACATGGTGGAGGTGCGGAAGCCATCTATTCTGGCAAGGAAAAGATTGACATTTCACACTTTTACGACTGCCTTAAGGATATGGTCCGGTATTAGACATTGTCCCGGGTTGTTATTTTTTTGGCTCGTCTGAGTTTTTCTCTGGAGTTGATTTTATTTTTGTCTCAACATATTGTGTATCATCATCTCATCTGATAGTTAGAGGGGCATTTGTTTTGATGACGCTCCTAATCATGGCTTTGGTGGTGCATACATAGCTAATCCTGACAGATAGTTTGATTCTGTTGTTTGAGAACCAATTTTTTGCATGTATTCTTGCCATTACACTTCATCTCCTCACAAGTGAACTACATTTTCCTCCAAACTAGTAGGTAGCCCATGATGCACGTGGCAATAATTATAAACTACTCGTGTTAAAGCAATGAAATATTGATTACTATAAAATATTTTTCAATATTAGTCTTACTTTTTTTATGATATATAATAACTTAATATATGATTTATATGTATATTTACTTGTTATAAAATAATTGTCATTTTAGAGTTATTGATTATAATTAAGGATAATAAATGTTTATAATATTTAAATATTATCTATAAATATTACTCTTTCTCTCTCTGTAATACTTTCTTACTCATTTTCTAAATAAGTTATGCTAAAGTTGAAAAATAGTGTCAAATATTATAACTAACATTTAATTGAAAAAGATTGCAATATATATTATTTTAGATGAAAGTTTTAATGATATTATGACACACAATAATGTTCGGTGTAGTTATTGATAAAATCAAATGACATTTTAGGAATTCCTTGAATATATATATTTTGGTATATATGGCTCTTTACCAAATGATTTGAGGAACTTGTTGATGTTGGGATGTTAATATCTATATATATATAATTACTAGCTCATGAGCATTTAAGAAAACCTATTAAATTATACCTATGTGGCAATTTTAACATTTTCCCTCCAAAACCATTACTTTTGATTATTTAACCTTTCTTTTAATTAATAAATAATCAACACATTAATCATTTGAAAATTACAAAAATTATTTTAAACTTTGATTACTAACAGTTGACCATATAATGTGTTGATCGTATAATGTGATTAGATGTTATTATTGTGGTTACATGTAAATTAATTTTTTTGGAGATAAAAATGTATCTGAAATTCCTAAATAAATAAAAAATAATTTACAAAAAAAAAAAAGTTACGTACCAAAATATACATTACATCCAATCTAATACACGCAATTAAAAAATAAATTTTCTAACTCATTTAATTATAAATTTGGCCTGCAAAAAAGTGAAAGAAAAATAATTAATCATTAAAGGCATAAGCGTTTTTATATTTGTATTTGGCCATACAAATAACTCGCAATACTTTATTTATATTTGTGCAAATGCACAGGTCGAATATTAGTTATGTAGTATTGTGGTAGTTATATTCGTAAGATTTTGTGATTGATTTCTAATTTTATTTTGTACTTATATTTTGTAATGTTCTCACACATATTTCGGTCTACATATGTTATATGGTTGGGTGCCCAACAAAGCATCATTAACACGTTATTTATTATGAAGGATAAATATTGGTTTGTTATTACAGAAAATAGTTAAATTTTTTTTGATGTTGTGAAAATTGTGTTTACAATTTTTGAAAAAACAGAATCGTTTGACTTATTTATAAATTAAACGATTCTAACATAATCCTCTTGATTATATTTGTAATTTTTAACTAATTTCAATTCTTATTTTGTAATTTTATTATTCATATTCAAATAATATTTTCTATAAAAACATGTTTAATAGATATTTTTTTTAAGACCTGTTGTATATTTGGTTAACAAAATAATAAGAAATTTTAATGATTCGTAATTAATACGAAGAATCGAATTTTGATTGCGATAATTGTTACGAAATAATTTTTAAAATTGATACCACTTTATTTATATAGAAAGACATTATATTAACTGAATTGTATGATTTACTTTGTTAGGTATAATCTAATTTTTATTTTCTCAATTATAAATATTAAAGTAATTTTTACTATATTTCCTTTATTAGTAAGTCCACGTATTTAATTACACAGTCAATGTTACTATTAAATTATTTCATCAACCTCTATCAATATACTAGTGAGTAAGAGTAACCCGTGCGATGCACGGACATGCTTGTCCATTAAAACCTTTTATAAAAATTTTATGGAAATATAATTATTTATATTCAACTTTTCATTATTGAAAACAAAGAAATACAAAATATGAAAAATTATAAAAAATAAAATAAATTAAATTGGTACATCTAAAATAATAAATAAAATAAATCTGGTAACTATAAAATTTTGTTTGCACGATTAGATTTTATACTAAAATAAAATAAATCATCAATTGATCTTATGTTCAAAATTAAATATCGTTAAATTTATTATCTGAGATATAATTTATATTTAAATTTAGATCTCATCAAATTTATAAATTTGCTTTGTGGTTTCGGTCTTCATCTTATCGGGGTGAGTCGGAGACAGATCTTTACAGTCAAATTTACGGACGCTCTCATTTTATCGGTCTAAGTTGGAGATATAATTTATATTAAAATTAAAATGATGTAAGTTAGATGTAAGTTCAAAATCCCCTATATATTAATTCACAAGTCAGAACGCGCTGAGCCTATGTGGCTGCTTCTGGTTATTCGCAATCTTATGTGGCAAAATTACATGCTTCGTTATTAGGCTTGGGTAAATTTTAATTTAATTCCAAACAAAAAATAATTAGGTTCGGATTACCATAAATATGTTGATTATTTATGGTCATGTTACATGTATTAATTACATTTTAATATCATTCCTTATTATAACTATTGAATTGTATATATATTTTAAAAGTTAATAACTTTTGTATTTTTTTATCAGTTTTACATATGTAATATATCAAATAAATATTTTTTTGATAAGCTTTGATTTAACATCCATATTGTAGGTATAAAAAAATAATTTAGATTTATCTTTATAACAATAATAATTTTTTTTAATATATTAGAAAAGTAAAATTATTTATCAACCAATATATTTATATTTCAAGTAGTTATATGATATAAGTTATAAAAACTAATATAATATAACACATGTAAGTCATAAGTAACACATATCATTTTAAAATATATAGTAATATACTTTTTTTGTAAAAAGTAAACTAAATTTAATATAGTTTTCTCATTAATTTTAAAATTTAAGAATAATTTTTTAACAAGCACCCGTGTAATACACGTGTGTTGTACTAGTATATTTTATATTCCAATATAAAAATTCCTTGTAATACCCCGTTTGAATAAGGATTATATGAGGTTATTATTTATTACCCCGTTCTCTTCTCTTCCTCTCGTTTTAAAAAAAAAAAACTAAATAAAAAGAAAGATAGAAGAAGAAGGTCGCTGCACATCATCATCGTCGCGAGGCCAGCACGCTGTCCCTCTTCACTGTCACGAACTCTCACGTCCAGGTTCCGTCCACGACTCGCCTTTGCTAACTGAACCCCAGTTCAGGCTCACCGATACCCGCTGCTCCTCCGCGGGACCATTCCCAACGACCCTTTTTTTTTCTGTCATTGATCAGCCGCGTGGCCACCGCGAGCCACCATTCAGCGCCGCCTGTCCTCTCGCAGCCCTCGAGTCCACTTCACTCGTCCCTCATCGTTCGGTGCTCCAGTACCTGTGAGATTCTCAGCCCTCTTTTGCTGAATATGTAATTTTTGCATATGTGGATATTTATGGTGAATATGTTTCACGTATGTGGAGATTTAGTTGGGGATCGTGTGTGTGTGGTTTTGTGTGGTTTATTACCCTCTTTTGCTTGTTGAATATGTTTTGCATATATGAAGATTAACTTCTAGTGAATATATTGCAACAGTTCAGATATGTACATCCCTTTCAAAAATGATTCACTCATGTATGTACATATGTATTTCTGATGCTGTTCAATGAGGTGCAAATATTTAGTGTGGGCAATCTATTAATGAGGGTTGTTCATATGTATTTTCTTGGTGCTAAAAAAAATTAATGAGTCAAGTATGTTGTATGTTTTGATAGTGTAATGCATGCTAGAGTTTAAATTCTATGTGTATAATATGGGATTACGTTCGATTTTTGAGAAATCGATTGAAGTCTCGTTTAATTCATAGAGTGTTATGGATTATTGGACTTAGGAATGTCCTTGACGCAATGACTTTGGACATGTGTCGTTTCGTTGTGTAATTGTAAGTTATGAATTTTTGGAAATCGTGTTGCAGCCCGTTTTTGCTAAAATCACTATAATTCGTGTATTGCTCCAAAAAATTTGATTTTTGGATATGTTGTAATGTTGCTGTTGTAGTACTTGTGGTTAAAATTTGAGAATTTTATATTGCCTGCAGCCTTGTCAAAACTCGACAACCATTTCTAGGCTGTTTCATAATAAATTCATATAAAATTCAGATCTTGTCTTAAATGGCTCATTTTTGGATATGTTGTTGTTCTACATGTTACCTTGCTGCTGTAAAAATTTCAAAATCTAATTTGAACTGTAGCTATTTTAATTATTTAAATTCATGTTCTGGTCATATTTTGCTTAAATTATTTAAAATGGTTAGGAGCATGTTTAGGGGTTTTCCTCTGGTGAAAATGTGTGTTTTTAAGTCTTCTATATGCTATTAAAATTTGAATTTGAAAATCCAAGCCTAGCTCCTTACGGTCCCATTCTTATAATTTTGAACTAGTCATTTTTTTTACCGTTTTTGGCACCAGTTGGTTTTGATGGAACCTCCTTGATCTGTTGACCCCATTTTTATGCCAAACCTTCATTGCCTGCTTTTATATGATCAATTAATTAGTTGGTCTAGTCTAGGAGTCGTCCTAATGTTCCAACTCCATAACTTCCACGAGTTTCTTAGTCAATGTGATTTGACTAAGTATAATTCTCGTTATCTGTGTAAGAGTCGAGATAGTTGCTTATGAGACTGTCTTGACTTATGTAAGTGTCTGACGAGCAGAGTCTCAATCACCTACGACCTTCTGATTAATTTGCTTTATCAACCGATACCAGGTGGGTTTATTTTTAAAATTGTTATGCTGTAATTAATTACTTTTGTTGTGGTATGATCAAAGTGTGAGTATGGACCATGCAGCCTTTGATGTGAGTTGTATCGGCCGTCGAACGGTTATCCCCGTAGCTATAGAACGTACCTTTAGATAGTCTCCTTTATTTATGTATGGCAGTCTGGGCATGAGCCTTGGCTGGTGATCTCCGATGTAAGTCCGAAGGCTAGGTTTTGGGCATTCGGGGTGGATTTACTCCTGCTGGCTGGGCATCGATTGTAAGACTCGAGGGGCATTTCGATACGTGTATCAGTACAGTGGTCTATTGGTATAGGTGTGCACATGAGGGTTGACTCTGGTATATGAGATGGGATATTAATTGATTTGTGTTCATACTGCGACCATACCGGCTTTACTGCTTTATATTATGAATTTTGGATATTAATTATTGCATAGCAGTGAGAACCTCGTTTTTCCTATTGCGCTCATCCCCGCCTGCTCTTCATGGATGCAGGTTAGTAATGGCGAGCACGATAGAGGGAGGCGAGTGGTGGTCATTTCATTGATTACTTCCGCTGTTTGAACTATTTATGTATTTATGAATTATGATTGAGTATCGGATTTTGATAGGGAGTGTACTCCTTGGTATTTATGGTTTGATAAACCCAGTTTTGGGAGTTAATGTTATTTATAAACCCGGTTGGGTGTTGTCATGATTACTGAACCCGTTTGGGAGTTATATTTATGATATTGATGGAAATGTTTGAAATGA